CGATGAAACCAATGAGGCAAATATAACAATGGGGGAATCCAGATGAAGAGCTGTGGGTGTTCACGGCGCTGTTCTTGCAGGACTTCCATAGGCTCAAACATTTTCCAAGTAAAACACTGGAAAAGGGGGTTACCTGGTCTATTACTCGAGTTTCGTGTATGGGATCAGGATACCAAAAGGTCGCACTAGTAATAGCCTAGCAGATAAGATAAAGGGAGAATATTTGGGAATCACTGTGGACCTCTAACCCTTCACCACGGCTCCGTCACACTGCCATCTCTAACGACAGGCCTTGCTTCCACACTCTGGGGTGGTCCCGATAAAAGAACTGTTAGTCTCCTCTGTAGATTTGCATCAGCCGTTTAGAAACCAGGGAACCGTCTGAGAGACGGGTAGGTGATCCGTGAGTCTTGGAGTGTGGGTTGTTAGAATCTTTGGAAGTTGTGAGGGAAAAGAATTCAAGTAGGATGAAGACATCCATGCAGGCACATCTGCGAGACAAACCAGGAGCCTGGTGGCAGGGCAAATAGACACGAGTGGTAGGCCGAGTGGAAGTGCGTTTATGGAAGAGAAAGCTCGTTAGTAACTCTTTCCAATGCAAAATCATCTCTTCCACACTTGGCATCAAACACACCAGTTTCTTCCATCAGATAGACAGTGAAGCTTTAAGCAGATCGAACCTGGTTGTTGAGAAAAGAGGCTGCCAGAAAACCCCAATAGAGCTGTCCGCAGCGCCCTTTCACAGCACAGCACGTCAGACAAACAGGAGAGAGGACTGTAATATCCCACAGTGATTGGGTGTCCAACGGAGACTTTAACACCTCAAGAGAAGATGGAAGCTAAGCAGGAAGACCATCTTAATCTCCTTCCAAATCGGAGTCAAATGCCCACCTGGGGGATCAGGCCATTCTCTGGAGAGCAATGCTGCCTCATCCCCCTCTCTCAGGAGGTCAGGACAGCTGGCTTCCTGGGAGTCATGGAGATGTCCGGAATACTTGCCTGGGGAGTGCTACGCCAGGTGCTGTGCCAGGCTCATGTGGATTATTCCAGTCCCTGCCCCTGGGGGTTCATAGCCCACTGAGGAAACTGAGGAGACAGTGCCTGAATGGCCTACGGCCCCCTCGTTCCTTCACCCTGCCTGCAGCGCTCCTAAAATTTCGGATGGCCTTGTCGTCACTAGCCCTGGAGGCAGAGTCCCCACCCCGTGATGACTCAGTGACTTGGGATATAAAGAAATACCCCCATGACTTAACGCCCAACCCCTGCCATCGGGATGATGCTGACTCACAACGCCCCTATAAGACAGAAGAACTTCCCCGGTGCGTTTCCAGGACGGCAACTCTTCATGGGAGTAGAGAGCCGCATCTGGCTCCCACGGAGAAACTGCTCTCCTTGTGGTTCCCAGCCCCCTGCTTCACGCAGGGCTCCTGGCCACGACTGAAATACAGAGCCTTGTGTCTCCCCACTTTCCTGCTGGTCTCTCTGATGGCCACAAGGAGAGCTGCGGCCAGCGAGGCCCGGGGAGGAATAAATGCACAGGAGACCTGAGTTCCGCCTGCAGAGGGAAGCCCAAGGGTGGACCGAAGGGCCCAGCTGATCCCCGGCTGCTTCCGCCCAGTCCCGGCAAGCCTTCGGATGTAGGAGTCAGAAGGAAATGCTGCTATTTCGGGAACGCTCACCAAGCATAGTCCATATGTCCGGCCGTGAAACGAGTCTCAATGGATTTCAGAGGCTTGAGATCGTAGCGTATGCTCTCTCACCACAATGTAATCAACAACACAAAGATGTCTGGAACATTCTACCCACCCCACGCCCCCTCACTTGGAATGCAAGCCCCGTCTCAATAACCCCTCCATCGGTCAGAGAGTCAATCACAAGGGGAAATATTTTTAACTCAATGAGCATGAAACTGCCGTTGTTGTTTATCGTTGTCTTAGTCACCCACTGCTGCTGTGGTGGACGTGCCTCGGGCGGATGGCTTGAACACACGGGAACTCTCGTGGTTTCGGAGGCTGTATATCTGATTTCGGTGTGCCGGCTAGAAGGGAAGGCTTATTTTCTGTCGGCTCAGGAGGAAGGCCCTTGACTCTTCAGCTTCGGCTTCCTGTGGTTTCCTTGGAAACTTTAACAGCTGTCAAGCCGATTTCGACTCAGAGATGCTGTAAGACAGTGCAGAACGGCCCCTGTGGGTTTCCAAGGCTGTCCATCGCTATAGGATTAGAAAGCTGCATCTTTCCCCTGCAGAGAGACCGGTGACTTCAAACGGATAACCTACCATTCACAGCCCAACGCGGACCCCGCTACGGGACCAGGGGTCTTTGAAATATTACATGTTAGTTCGCTGAATCTGTAGAAGACCTGTAGGAGGGAGATTCTAGTATTATCCACTTCACAGGCACAAGTACAGCGACCCACGGACTTTACATTTACAGGAAAGTCAGCATTGACGTCTACGGGGTCTCCCTCTAGAGTACAGGTTCTTAGTCACTGTGTCTGTCCGTTTGTCATACTGTGCTGGCTTGTGTGTTGTTGCTGGGATGCTGGAAGCTATGTCACTGGTATTTCAAATACCAGCAGGGTCACCCAAAGTGAGTAGGTCTCAGGACAGCGTCCAGGCTAAGAACTGACTACGAAGAAGGAATAGGGTGTTCAATTCCAAGAAATTAATCACTGAAAACGCCATGGATAGCATGGAAACATTGCCAGGTACTGACCGCTCATGAATAGAAATAGAACACTGTCGCCTTGAACTATTTACAGCCTTTTCTCTTTTTTCTCCATTGGTTTTTGTTGTTGTTTTCTTTGGTTGCTTTGTTTTGCTCTGTCATGTTTTTTGTGTGCATATTCTTACCTTTGCAGCTCTATCTAAATAAGATAGGCGAGATAAACAAGGTGGAGGAGAAATCAAGGAGACCGATGATTGGCGGGGAAGGGGGGAAGGGGGACATGGCAGATGGGG